TAAATAGAATGAAATGTAGTCTAAAAGAGTATGTTAGTATTAAAAAAAAATAAAAATAAAAAATATATATATATATACATATATATATATATACATATATATACATATATATATATATACATATATAAAAATAATAAATTAAAATATTTAAAAAAAGGTAAATAAAAACACTTATAAATAAAGAATTAATTTGGAAAAAAGGACGACTGATTAAATATATTAAATATTAATGAAAATTAATAAAAGATATATATTTAAAAATTTTATTATTTTTTCTATTAAGAAATTAAAAGGAAAAAATAATAAAATTGTAAAATGAATATAATAAAAGGAAAAAGCATTTAATTTTTTTTTTTTTTTTTATCTATAGAAATTTAATTTCTTTTAAAATTAATAATAATTTTAAAAAATAATTTTTATAAATTATTATTAGCGTTAATTAATAAATACTGAAAAGAATGCAATATAATATATAGGATTTACTCATATATATAAACACAGCCGCATGAATCACTTTTCTATCCGCCACTAAAGATTGAATTACGATACGACTTAAACCTATCACTTAACAACGGAGGTAAACCGCACCCGGAACATTCTTGATCTAGCCTACGATCGCTTTACCTGTAGCACGTCCCTATGCATGCTACGGTGTGCATAATTGAAATAGGAAGTTGTGTTCACTTTGGGAATGGGTTTGATGGGCGTGCTAAAGGAACTTCGATTGAAGGAACAGGTAACATGCAGCTAGAGGTACACGTATCACTAAGAAAAAATATTATCTCCTTTCCTTCATTCGCACTGTTGCAAAATATTGTCATTTTGTACATGTCAGTCTGTCCGTCCGTCCAATATTTCTCGTTTAAACTTACAATCTGAAACTTGGGTCGGTTGACAGGATAATTTCAAAAAATGCAAATGACTCAATAACAACCAACATACCACTAAGCTAAGCCACAGGTGAAAAGTTGACGGAATATTAGAAAATCTTTAGTTTTAAAAATTCTTCTTTTAAAAATCAGTACACAAATAAAGCAAATGCGGACGACTTAGTTCTATGAGGAAAAAAGTAATTCGATTGTACTTTTCATACCCTTAACTGACAAACAAGGTATATAAAGTCTATATATATATATATATACATATATATGGTATTTAGTTGGGATTGGAGGGATTACCTAGATTCGTTTGAACAATTTTCTTATTTGTTTATAATTACTTTTGATTTTATTTCACTTTAATTAATTTTTTTGTAACACTTGTCCTTTTTTCTTTTAATTAAAATTGAAAAAGTTATATAAATTTTTTCTTTTTTAATTTACTTAAGCATTTTTTGATAAGCTAACCCTGCTTCACTGTTTTAATACTTGTAGTCTTAATTATATAGTTTTAGAAACCAGAAATCGTATAGTTTAGGATTAAAAATATAAATTATATTTTCTTTTCTTTTTTTTTTTTTTTCATATATAACAAAAAACAAAATGATGAGTAGCAAAAATTAATTAAATTTTAATTTATTTTGATTAATATATAGAACGAATATTAAATGTCACGCACTCTTATGTAATCCATAATTTTAAAAAATACAAGAATAAATAAAAAGTTTAAAATATCAAAAATTTTCTTTCCCTTCTAATGAATTCTAAATTTAGCAGAAGAGCATTCTCATGCAAATTGACCTTGAAAACTTGCTTACTTTTTACTAGTTAGCTAGTTAGTAACTTTTAACGCTAACAATACTCTAACAATATATCAAGACTGGCGATAAGATGGCTTTGACTGTAAACATTAGCAGATTTCTGAGAGGCGCATTAAAAAAATTTTAAAAAAATACGAGAAAAGAAAAAGATATTTCGAGACTAAACTATCCGGACGCTGATTGTATTCATTGATACCCATTTATATATAAAACGGAAATTTATCGCCAAACTTGTCTTCATCTTTATCATAACACAAGTCACGAAATATTTGCTAAAACTAAGAAAACTATCACTGATTGCTCTCTCATCATCAAATCCGATTTAGCAAGAGAAAGAAGGAGCAATATTCAGAATATCGAGATTTAATGCTTTGACATCCGTTTGCTCCAAAAGAAAAGAAGACGAAGAGTTTGCAGATGTCAGTCGGGGGAAGACGGGAAACATTTGTTCTCTATGTAATGAAATGTACGTCAATTCGCGTAATAAATCTTTAAGGTAATATATATACTGTTTGAAGATTGATAAATGATTTTACAAAATTTTCATTACTATCTGCATGAAATTACAGTCGATTCAAATTATTTTTCAGGTTTGCCACTTACCCGTAAACGATTATCTCCTACTGTCCATACACGGGCGCCGTAATCATTTGATGTGCCAATAATATACGAACCAGTGGAGTCGAAATCGACTGAATTAATGCCAGCACTGCTACCACTTAAAACTGCACGGGGTTCCGGAGAAGCTGTAAAAACAACACAACAATAAATTCAGTCGGTTGATTACATTCATTTTGGTTTCAATCTTCAAATCATTAACATATGTTACAAGTTTGAAGGTCAATTTTCAAGTTTACCACGAAACGGAAAAACGGATCCAGAATTAACTGTTGATGTTTATATATCTAATAAGCTTATTTGACAAAGTTTGAATTTAGTTGAATACATGATGCCACGCGGCTCTGTCAGTCTTAACTTGAACTTGAAAAGTTGAATGCTAGAAATGGCGCAAGTGATCTCTCTATCGGTCTGTTGATATATCTATTATTAACTTATAGATGGTGTAAGTGCTCTTCACCGATCTACTGAGCTGAACATAATCTCTTTTTGATACCTAGAGGAATGAAAATTGCGTCAATGATCCCCACTTAAAATAATCATTTCTCTTCAGCCAATAATAGAAAAAATGGTCTCGATCGATCCATTAATGTCTAAGATATTTTGCCCATATCACTGAATTAATTAGCACTTTTTCCAGGATGAATACTTAAATACCTTTAGCTGAAACCGGTGGTATCGAATACGAAAAAGATACACTAATAAAAAATATCATTAAATTTTCAATATTTTCCTTAATGGTTTCCGATTTTATCAAGGATGGAGATTCTGATTCTTTCTGATTTCTTCAATATATTTATAAATTGATTATGTGAAATTAAAGCAATTTTTTTATCTTAATATGAAAGTCTAAGCATTTCCGGAATAGTCAGTTTGATCGAGTGAGAATCATCGCAAATGTGAAAACATTTTCAAAATTGACTTAGGTGTTTTTGTCTATTCGTAGACCCAATTTTAGTATATATTCTGCAGGAGCAAAACAAGCCTGCCGGCAACGAATGCTCCCCACTTTACTTTACGTATCACGGACATGTTATGAATAAACCTTTCAGGACATGAAATGAGTAAATAAGTATTTAAGAGCATGTGTACGTCTGTCCACATATTCTTGCACTTTCTTTGCTATCAACAAGAACTGAGACAACAAGAATGCAATGAAATAGTTATTTAAGTGTATCTGTCCATCTGTCCGCCTTTTCTTGGAGTTGTTACTATCAATCAACAGTGAGACGCAAGGAATGAACTGAAGAACAACTACCCTTTTCTCCGCCTGATCTTGCATTATTCACTGTCAACAAAAATAGAGACACAAAGCTGTAGCTTGATACACTTTATCTTAGTTTTGTTCGCAGATAAAGTTAAACGTGGGCATGACCAAAAAATAAATACATTAATAAAGAATAATTTTACAAACACTATGCCATTTATAATAAATATCGATCGTTACGTTTGCCACAATTATTACATTAATGAAGAGAATCTAATAAATTAATATCCAAATATTCTTAGTGCATAGATTTATGCATTGCATCATCAAAACTAATAAAAGATCTTTAGCAATTTATTTCGTCAAGGTATTGAATATGTATAAAAAGTCCGAAAAACGCAGATGACATCCTTAATCGTTAGGCGTATTAGCTTTACAAGAAAGACATCTAATAAGGTTCGTTGCATGATTTTCTTTTGCTTTATATATATGTATCTTATAGAACTAGTGATCGTGTGAGAAAAGTTGATTGAAAATTGCATTATTGCTCTTACCTTTCCCCACATCCCATAATTTCACTTTACGATCCGCACCACCAGTCGCCAAAACACGTTCAATGGGACTCCAACGAACTGCATGCGATTCGTTTTCATGCGCATCAAATTTCATAAAAATTGTCGACGGATTATCCGGTTTGGTTGTTGAATGACAAAGAACGTCACGTAAACGTGAATTGGGTGACGAGAACATATCTAATTCGGGACCGCAACCGGCCTCTATGCAATGATCAACACCGCCGGTATCGGAAGAATAACGATCGTTATCGTTATCGTATGAATCGCTATCGCCCAGGCCGTGCTGTGAATGGCTCGAAGAATTACGCGTTAAACGTGGCAATGTTGAATTTGGTTCACGGACGGCGTCTTCAAGGTCACGTTTCAATTTATCGGAACGTTTTCTGAAAATTGACGGCAGTCGTTTTCTATTTGTTTTGTTGCAACATATTTGATTTTCATTTTGCACATTGATTATAAACATATTCGATACGAGTTCAGAGATTTTTAATTTTTTTATTTTGTTCGATTTGATTTTTAATTATTTTGTTAAACAGTTTGTTTGTTTGTTTTGTTTTGTTTTTTATTTTTTTTGTTTTTTTGTAAGGTCGTCACAACATTTACATACAAACATAAAAGGAAAAAAAAAGAGCAGGAGAAAAAACAAAATGAAAATATATAAAGAAAAAAATCTTTGGAATTTTTCGGAATAATTTGAAACTTTGAAAAAAGAAAAAAAAAAGACGAGAAAACTTTATTAAATTCTGTTTTAGTGGCAAATGGAAAGGCGGAATTATAAGTTGTTATAAAAATGAAAAAAAAATGTGAATTTGATAAAAAAAAAAAAGGAAAATGTATAAAGTGCTACATGCCCGTGCGTAATAATCTCCTATGGTTATTCATTTGTATATGCTTTGGCATTGCAATTTATTCCAAATTAGTAAAAAAGATCAGACAATCTAAAAAGTATTGAGCTCAGCAATTCAAAAGGAACTTCAAAAGGGAAATGTGCCACCGTGCAGCAAATCACGCAAAACTTGTCCGTGTATCCATTTAAAGACTCGCCGGAGATTGAGAGAAATTGAATAAACATAAAGCATTACACGAATATGATTTCGGTTTTCAGCTTCTTCTTCTTCTTCTTCCCGCTTCAATATGGACCTGACAATTTTTTGTACGACAACTTAGTTCATATTTGCATGTGGTGGGCGGGGGGGGCTTAGCAGGGGAGTGTAGCAGAAAAGTATCGAAGAACACACTACATGCGTACTTTTATAACTTTCCGGCAATCGATAATGAGGAGTTTTGAATTTTGACATACATGGGCTCAATACTTTTTAGCAAAATGTGTTATTTGATTTGTCAAGTGAATGAAGCAATCAATGGAAAAAAGTTTTTAAATGCCTATGATTGATCCCAACTCCCGAACTAATGACATGTTATATAGCTATCTCTAGCATAGATAACATATCGGTTATTAGTTACCGGCGTAGATGTTGACCCCAATAAAGAGAATCCATACTGTTTTTAGAAAGTATCAACCCTTAAACGGCCCTTGTCAATATTTCAACCAATTTCTATCGTTTGGCGACGAGCAATGACGTCACATGTTATCATTTTTGTGTCAATGGAAAATCCGACTTGCACTTGCATTGAATAAAGATTGGTGTTGAAATAATAAGTGTGCGTCCATTGTGTCCACTTTCCTCCATTGAAAAAGAAGAATTTAAAGAATATTGTGTACAACACGGATGATGATGCTAAGCGCAGTCAAGGCCCAACGGAGGTCTTTCTTCTAGATAATTGATAAATAAAGTCGTAAGAGTTAGCTGGGATTCTAGAGAGACCTTGAAAGAGACCAAGGTATTCACTATTTTCCACAAAAATTTTTTCCTGATCGAGTTTCCAATTGCAAGCTTAACGGCGCTCTCTGCTCGAATTTATTTGTCAAGGTCGGATACATGCATTTGACAATTCCTTTGCAGGAGAGAGAGAATAAATCAGAAAATTTCGAATATTGTGACGATAGACGCAACTGTTTTAAAGGGTTCTATGTCTAAAAATTGTTAAACAAAGCGTCAGCCGAACGAAGGAACGGAAACTAATTGCACACCTTTTAAGGAATCTGATGTAAAAACAGTTCATTATGATCTATCGATTCGACAGCAAATATGCTGCACTTGACTATACCACACGTTTACATTACAATAGTGGCCCATACCTGAGATTGAATAGAGAACGAATGAAGACATCTTAATTTGTCTTTCATTTCCGAGCTCGAACTTTAAAATAAATTAATTCATACGATTATTAATGAAACGCATTCCGAGTGCAACTATATACATGATTAGTGAAAACGCAAAATGAAAGTAAACATATCTTACGATTATCTTCAAGAATGCATTACACGAAATAAATTATGCAAAAACCTTGTTCCTTTTTTGTAAATTTCGAAGCAACAAGAAACTACTGCAAGTGCATAAATTTACTTGATATACGTTATTAAAACAAAAATTGTAATAAACTTTTGTTGAAACCAGTCAAAAAAAAAAACCATTTAAAAAACACACTTCGTTTTTTGTTTATAATACTAGGCTCTAGACGCCATGTCTAGGCGTCTATAGACGTTATTTACGTCCAAAGGTTAAGGCTTCATATGCAGTAGTTGTAGGATATGTATTATTAAGCGGAAAATTTATCCCGAAATTTATTGAAGGTTCGGGTACATTCGTAAACCGTATATGGCGTACATATGTTCATCGGTAAACATTTTACCGATGGCGAAGCAAAGATGCCGGCAAAGAAGAGATTGTAAATTTTGAAAGGACACGCCTATAATGCAATCAACACTGAGAATACATTTGCTTACAGCAATGAGAAACATGGATTTTTTGCTATTCTAACTACAACACACTATAACTCTGCTATCGTATATTCTGTTAGTGATCGATGCTAGAGTGGCTAGATCAAAATGAAAAAATTACAAAACAAAAGTTCATACTTTTATCCTTTTTTGAGATGAAGCTGGTGGATGGAAAAAGTTCAGTCAAAGCTAAATATAATTTTCTCACTTTTCAAACATTTGAAGTTTTAATATGCAACTCTTTTAACGTGAAAAGTTGTATAGAAAAGATTAGCAGCTGTATATGTAATTGTGTGTGATGTGTGGCGATTTAATATGGTTTGCAATAACATGTTCAACATGCTTTATTTAACTCGTTCCACTCCTAGGTCGAATGTCGCTTGAAGTCCTATCACTTATATTAACTCCTATGTCTAGGCGGTAGGCAAAATACTATAGCGAGATATCGGCCACCATTACATACCCTACACCACTTTACTTAATACATTTATTCATCTAACGAAAGTATACTAAGGTATGGGACGATATGAGACGTGCTCGATCCGAATCAGAGCTGATTAAATCACAACAACAACAACAACAACAACAACAACAACAACAACAACAACAACAAACCCAATAAACAATATTTTTGTATTTCACTTTGAAACACATGTTGAACAAAATTTGTCAAAAAAATCTTCCCCATTTTTAATCGGTTCCTAATGTTTTAAGAATGTAAACAAACAATTGTTTTAGAATAAATTAAAAAATTTTCAGTAAATTTTAATGAATTTATGAAACCACTTAACATGCAAAAATTATGTAAAAATCAAATAAAATAAGATGAAATATAATAAAATCCCATTTTACTACCAGATGTGTACCAATATTGTCTGATGATTAGGTTATAACATCGATGCTATATAGGTTCGTCCAACATACTGTTTAACATGCTTTATTTAATAATGAACAAAAGAAAATTATTTAAGTAAATTTTCTGAATTTTAATATTGCGATTATAACATTAGGAGTTAGTTAAGGCACAATAATAACAATAATAACAATAATAATAAGTGGAACTCGAAAGTGCAAAACCAGCCAACAATTTTTGGAAATATTGATTCTTTTATTGCAAGGACTTTAAATAAAGGCCTGCTTCGCTTCATCAATTAGAAGCTAAAAACCTATTGCACAACATAAATATATTCGAAGTGTGTTTAATCATCCTGGCCATAGGTGCATAGGGTCTTCTTCACTAATTCGTATAAGAAAACATTCCGGTGAAAATAAATAAAATATTTTTCTTCAGATTTATTAGAAACGGAAGCGTAAATAGTTTTCGAAGCAAATTCATTTTTCTTGGAAAGCCTCTCTTGCACCTAAAACAACAATCTTAATATTTTTTGAAAATCCAGTGATCATGGAAGAATTTGTTTGGAAAATTTATCCTTTTTTGTTTTTTTGAAAAACAAGTTTTACTTTACCTAAAAACCCTATGATGGTATCAACTATGCAGAAACCTTATTCTCAAGTTGCTGTTCATCTTTTGAACAACCCGATGAAAACTGAAGAGTATACTAAACGTCAAAATTGGTGGTTCCGCGAAAAACGCTCTGAAAGCGTCAACCACAATGTTCAGTAATTCGAGAATTTCTTTGAATGTCTAATGCACTCTACTCTATGCCTGTACAGTATAAATGTTCTTCGAGTTACCTTCCTTTGCATTCTTTCTGGTAGAAGTCGTATCACTGCAAACAGTTTTAGCGCCTACAAACAGTCAGAGCGCCCAGAGCGCCCAGAGCGCGTAGCATGTTTGGTATCAGCTGCGGAGCAGAGGCGAAAAAATTTCGATTGCATGATAAACAGGTAAAAGAAGGAGATTTCGGGTAGGATTTTATCGCTAAAATACTTTTTTGGCCGAACGGTTTAAACAAGCGGATTAAGGCATTTATTTGCGTTTGGAACAAATCCAACCCAAACAACAAATTGAAATCTCCCCGCTTCGTATTTCTTCATAAATTCGTTTAATGGTTTTAAATGTTTGAAACGCCATGGGTTGATTAAGTCTACCTTTTTTTAATTTAATTTTAAGTGCATTAAAAGTAATTGCAATGAAGATTTGGTACAATTTTTAGATATTTAAGGTATCATTTTTTTTTGGAAAGAGTCCGGGAGAGAGAAGCGGCCGTATCATAACGGGTGTTATGCGTTCTTCGACTGACAACAAAAGCGGCCAAAATAAACTCTACTGCATTCAAATTTGAACCCGCAAGCGCAGACTTCGTAGCTGCGATTCTTAACTACTCGGCGACTCATGCGGACATTTGAAGCGACAACAACAGAAAGAAAAAAATTGCAAGGCAAGATAGCGACGCTTCAAACAAGCATATAAATTTAAAATAATGGCTCCATTTATCGCTCCTATAAATTGATATTACACTCCTTAAATAAATATGACCTTGTATTATGCAATTGTATGTGACACTAGCTCTAACAACTAGTTCTTCCGCCCTTTTATTGTTGTTGTCAATCTTAAAAACACCCATCAGGAAGCTGTACGTGAAAATACCTTCGGCAACTAAGAAAGTAAGCCAAGTACACTAAATTTCAAAAAGATTTCCATTAAAATCTATAAGTTGCAATAACATAAACTGAAAATTTCAAATGTCTATAAATTGTATGTTGACACGCCCACAGTCACTATAAAGCTTAAACTATTCTTCTACGTTAACCATATAACTTATACCCACACTTATGTGTGATTTTGATTTTTAAGTCTTTTTCACTATTATTTATGAAGAAGAAGTAAATTCTTGGATTAAAATGAAACGAAGAGCAGTAGCTGGATAAGACTTGAAACTCGAAATTGATTTTTGCATTTCCAGCTTATTTACTTTTTCAACTAAATTCCATCCTCCGAGGACGAGGACCGATAACGACCAGGTCTGGATAACTGACTCACTCTCAAATATTCGCATCCGTTTTAACTCTTTTTAGATTTAAAATTTGTTTTCTCGTAAAGTAAATGTGCGACCAGACCATCGCAAATCGTCCTCATGGAAGGAAAACATTGTAAAATCAATTTCTTTTGGTCATGAACGACAAAAAAAAATTGCTTGTGAACGTGGGAAAATTTTTAACGCTTGAAACATGGATGTATACGGATATTCTATACGGATTGAACGCGGTTTGCTCGAAGCACGATTCCTCAAAGTGGTCAGACGCATAGCCCCGCTATTTTCATTCCTTTCTTTCGCATTTTTCTACAGTTCTTTTTAAACCTTTTATTTGTAGGGAAACACGGAAAATATTTCGATTATTAAAGACAGTGTTTGGTTAAAGGCAGAACTTGGTGATAAAAAAATTGACTTTTTTGTAGAAACAAACACACACCAATCGCACAAAAATTAATATCCTTTTAACTCGCCTCCATACTTCGCTATCTGCAGACATGCGGATTAAGTGTTTTCCCGCCAATGCCAAATTGAATTATTTACGCTCCTGTGTTAACATTCCTTAAACCAACTAACCAAGTATACCCGTATATTCGTCCTTGGCAAATTTTCTCATAAAATTTCATCATTATGATCGTGTATTTGCTGTAATAATGTATTTTAGAAAATATTGTTGTCATTTTGTCTGGTCGTTTGATTATAACCTAATTTCCTATTACACAAACCCTGTGTTTCACGAATACACGAATGTATTGCTAAAGAGGTTGACTAAGTTAGTTGATTACTATTTTTTCAAAAATAAAATCATTTTGAAATCTTTAGTGCACGTTTAATATTGTTATTCTGTTAGCTCCGCCTTCCGCGCTAGAGAAATTGTCACAAAAGAAAGACTCTTTTTAACACTGCTATAGTAGCGTCTTTCCTTAAGGAATTTTTGTTGCTTTTTTCTAGTAAAATCATATTAATCCTAGCCATGAAAGTAAGCAGTAGATGGGCGAGCGAGGAAAAGAGGCTTTAGTTTCATATTTCCAAAAAATGTTTGGCGGTATATGTCATTATAAACACTGTTTAGAGCAAAACAATTGCAACTTTTTTCCAAAATAAAATTCGTTATCTGTGATTTCTAACATCAGCTTCAATTAAACAGATTTGGTTATATGAGAAATTCTTCGCTCATTCCAAATTAGAACGAAATTATTTCGCATCGTGCTCTTTGTAAATACTTTGTTTAACTACTCTAAACAGTAGACTAATAAATAGGAAAATTTGCTGGTTATCATAAGTCAAACTTAGCGTAACAAAAAATAGTACCTTTATAAAATCTCTATGATTTTCCATTAAGAGTAAAAATCTCTTAAAAGTTTTCCTAAAGACATTGTATACCACTGTGTCGCGTGCAAGTTTGACTTATACGGCTAGTAAAGGCTTTGTGAGACCACAAGCATGGGTCAGTAATGTGACTTTTCAATAACTTTCTATAGAGAAAAAAAAAAGAAAGAAGATTTTATAGTTAAGGTAATTACATCCATTTTCCGAGAAACTTTTGTATTTATAGAAGATGAGAAAACAGTTGAAGTCATGGATGAACGCCGCTTTTAGAAATTTATTTCATATGTAATCTCTGCCTTCAGAGATTCACTTGCAAGTTTCACTAACGTATGAGCTTTCGCTATTTTTGAGTTTTGGCGCATGATATTCAAAGCCGTCTATGCAAAGTCATGAGACCACATAGCGCGAATAATTTTAGGCTGACCCAAGGCTTCATGATACACCGTAAACTTTCAGCAACGTTTCATAAACGGGTTCCACTTACTGTCGAGTGTCTCCAAGCAAGCTTGCTGTCCAGAATCAATCCAATATTTATTATGCTTAAGGTTAAGCCTTCGCCAGCAGAAATAACAAACAAAACCAAGCACGTTTAGATCTTTTATAACATAATTATGGGGGTGAAATGTTTTTATTTACTCTACTGGAAATCTGGATCGGGAAATAAAACGAAAACCGTTTTTAAACGGTAGAAGACTTTAATATTTAGGTAAATTCTTATGCAGAAAGTAATTCTCTGTGAGAGTCTAATTTAAACTCGATAAGTGGCTGCTTACGAATATCGAAATGTCAAGGAAAAAGATGATAAACATCATTAAAATCTTAAACAATAATTAACTAATGCTAGTAGATATTGCGTTATTGACACCTCTCTACAAATTATTACATACATAAGTAAATTGCAAGACTTATATTACTTATCGTTGACACGACCATAACTCAAGTAATTCCATTCAAAGTGATGTAACCCCCTTTAGTATTGCAAAACTAAACGCAATAGCTTTGAAGAGTTGGTTTTAAGCAAAGCATTCTCATGCCATACGATGACTGTATCTAACGAAAGTAATTACTTTTTGGACAAAAGTTGCAATTAAAATGAGTTACATTTTCACATAAATTAGTAATACATTTAAACATTTTTAACAATATGAAATAAACAAAGGCGCACAAACACAAGGAATAAATTGGCATAAAATCATTTTCAAATTACCTGAGAAAGCTTTCGTTTTCCTCATTCAATTTATCAGCATCCTTTGATTTGTAACGCATCAAACGTTCTAATAAGCAACGATTTTCTTCCTAATTAAAATTTGAAAACAAAAAAAAAATTCTTATTGCAATTTTCAAATGTTTTTAAATAAAATGCATTTGCATTTGCAACCGCACATAATCGCACTAACTTGTAAAAATTTTAATATATGATAAAAACTCGCACTATACGTGACCTGACTCGGCAGCATATGAGAAGAAAATTTTACAATTTTGCTAAGAAAACCTATTGAGGATCATTTCTTTTTTTTCTTCTTTTTTTTTTTTTGCTTTAAAAAAACTATTTCATCTGCAATTATTGCAGAGAATTTGCGATCATCTATACGATCATCATATACGAATTTTTCGTTCTTCACAATGAAAGGATTATCAAGCGCTCTACACTTAATATTGCTTTATAATATGTCAACGAAATTATGACATCTCGGCAAAATATAAAACATTTTGTCTAGCAATTCAAGATGTGTCGTTGAAATTCGCTAAATATTGCTTGAGATGAACAACACAATCAAAAAATATATTTTAATGTTATCGTGAGAAATTCCAATTATAAGAAATTTCAACATTTTTTTTTAGTTTCGAAGATTGTTAGGCTGAGAAGTTTCTTTTAAATACTGAGGGAAATTTTTGACTTTTACTATATCATTTCTGCACCAATTTCCAGATCTATTTCCTAAAAGAACAATTCGCCTCGGTCGGTCGTGTAAAATGCATGGTAGCCCTCTATAAGTAACGTTCATCAAACCTTGACAATTTTGTGGTTATTTTTGATTTAGAGGCGATTGTGTTTAATATTTAAAAAATATTCTTTTAATAAATTAATTTTAATTATTATATATTTACTGCCTTGGAGATGAAAAGAAAAGATGCTATCAAAAAACTCTCCTAAGATTAGTGAAAAGAACAAGAAATCAGAATTAATGCAATTTTGTTGGCATGTGCGGCAGAAGGCATTTCGTTGTTTGTCGTCTAATTTTCCTAAGACTATTTTATTTTGATTATAGTTTGCGCGTAAAAGCAATATCACACTTTCAAGGAACTTGAGGAAGAGAGTTTAACCAGCTGGCGAGCATGCAAATACCTACAAAATTGTTTCTTCGGGGTTTCTAATGATACGTCTATATTCGTCGAGGAAGGAAAAATGTTGTTTTTCTACTTTTCACTGACATCGACCCAATGCGAAACTGAATACAAAAATTTCATCATCTGTTACTTTACAGGTTAAGAATTTTAATCAACAACATGTTGTTTAAGGAAAAGTTATTCAACTTGGAGCGACATGCTTATTTTGTCCAATACTACGTTTTTAACATAGCTGGCGATTTAGGAAAAGATGAAGGCAATAGTCCACAAGAATACTCGATCAATATTCAGCAGCATTATTAAAAATCTCTTACGACTACTAAGAGGGGATACTTAATTTATCACATTATGAACAACATATCCGGCAAACAATCCATGTCTTTTAGCAGGCTATTTAAGCCTGTCTAACACGTATAGAACAGCTATGAGAGTCCTTTTGTAATCTTTCTCTCATCAATAATCACTTTGCAATATACGATTGGATCTAAAAAAAAACCGAGTTAAATTTGGCCAAATATTATCGACTGAGCTAATGGATACCAAAAAGAACTTAAAAGTCATTATAAAATACAAAATAAGTTGCTGTTTGACCAGACATTGTTTCACTGTTTTTGTTTTTTTTTTTTTTTTTTTTATAATTATATCTTGGAATATTCACCTTTCCGCAAAAAGCTTGTACTTTGCACGCAATATAACTGCATTAAAATTTTGAAGAAAAATTGTTAACAAAACAAGGTAAGACTCAAAATTTTTACACAAATGAATTTTTTTTTAAATTTCTTACTTGACAAGCTATATAAAAGTGTATTGTTTATAAATTGAATATTGATTCACAAAAATTCCGAGATTTCAAAACGATAACAGAAAGGAATTTTTAATTATCCGCAATTTCGAAAAAAAAAGTGAATAAAATAAATAATTCTGTAGTAATCGATACAACTATGAGAATGTAGGCAGGGAGGGTTAACAATGATTTTCAAACGCTTTCAGTTCGCTTTCAATATGCACAAGTAGGGGTAAAAATTTGTGAATACATTCCGGCCATAACAGCCGTTTGTTCTTTTTTTCACTTTTCCTCGCCCAGGCTTCTTACTACCAAAACGGAGAAGAATTTTTGTATGGTAGGTAGCCTATAACGACCCGTTTTATGTCAAATATAAAAGTTGACTTCTCGGGAATTTTCGATGACCATAGTGGAGAAAAAGGGAATATTACATTAGCTGTAAGAATATGATTTGGAAACGATCCTCAAGTCACGCGGAATATTAACTATTCATTTTTACAAGTTAGCTTCCGATATTTAAAACAATTCGAACCAGAAGAAATAGATTCAAAAGCCTAGAATCGAGGTGACAAGAAGATTAAGCGAAAGAGGTGAACCGATTTTATTGTTTGGCGCAAGGGAACTTCAAGTTTTCTGCAGATTACATCAATGTGAGATTTCCCAACCAGGAGCAAATCCTACGGCGCTTTCGTAATGAGGCTATTGAACAAGTTGATCAAGCTAATTTGCAGGAAATGTTTGCTAATACACCCGCCTCAAAGGAAGAGTAACTATCAGATTTGACTGAATTAGATGAATCTGTCAATTGGGAGCATATACAAACAATGGCTTACAAAATGGATCGTAACAATAAACTATTTCTCACTTCCATTACACGGATTATTTTCCATACTATCCATGAAATAATTGCCTAAGCATTTTGATATTCTCCTATGAATTGACACATTTTTGTAGTAAATTTTCGAAACAATAAATTTCCTGTGTCCTTTTCTCTTATTATATCGCTTACCTTTTGGTACTAGAAATGGCACAAAAATTTTTGGATATATTTTGATCCCATGTCTGAGACTATTCAATTATATGCATACTATATAGGATTTCCTAAGAGCACTTTCAAGTGTCGCAATCGAAATCGGAAATCTAATGAACCGCGCGATTATCTAGAAAAACGTTCTCATGAAATTAAAATGCGATTATTAGAGGTATTAAAGCCTTGCTTAGTTTAACCACTCGGTAGTTGCTTAAATTCGTTTACCTGTACTCCTCTTAATTTATCTTCAAGAGCACTAAATGCCAATTGCAAGGCGGTATGTTCGTCTAGCAATGTATTGTTTAGTTTCTTCAATTCTTCCAAACTGGATTTAAGCATTTGAACTTCAGCCTTTAATATATTATTGGCAGTTTTTTGTTCGGCAAGACTATAAATAAAGCAAAATTACATTATCATAAATAAACTCCGTTTCTATTCCTCTATCTCATTATTATTCACCAGCTTTCTTTTTCCTTAACAATAAGTTGTTGTTTTTCTACTTTTAAGTTCAAGTCAACAATCATTTGTGAATTTTCGCCTTTACGTTTGTGCAGATCCGTTAATTCTTCTTGTTGAGCCAATAGTTTCTTTTCCAAAGCGGTTATTGCTATTTGAGCCGCATTGCTGTCTTTACCATTACCTTTACCACCTGTTGCAAACGCTACACGTAGTTGTTCATTTTCTACAGATATTTTCAAATTATCGGCTTTCAATTGGGCCACATTATCCAATAGACGATTATCTGCAAAATGTTTAATATACTTGCATTATTTCGCTGCATATATTTTTAAGAAGCGTTTTGAAAGAGAAGCCTTAAATTTCACATTTAAGCGGAAACTGAATAATAAACGACCTTGAACCCCTTCGCTTATCAATAAACGCATTCACTAACTAAGCTTAACAGTAGTTATTGCAACAACGTTCAACAAGATTCTTATACCTACTTTGAAGGATGATTTCCTTGAACGGTGTTACCTCTCGACGATCACGTTCTGCTAATCTTCGCATTAAACTAAGACGCCATTCTTGTTCATCGCTGGCCATTTTGCAATTGCCTTTTTTTTCGGTGGAGCTGCTTAAGAAGCTATTAGCCGAACGTATTTCTTTTCGATTTCTTCTCAAATTGTTATTGTTTTATACAATCACATATCTTTTGCAAAGCAAAAAAGGAAAACAGTTTACTTTTGCTATCACTTCTTTGCTGTTCGCATCCAATCACCGGCCACATTTATATTTTTAGGTTTGTTTGGGTTGGCTTTAATTTTTTCTCAATTTTTTCACTTTCATTTATAATTAAATTCAAACAAATTCTGGTCCAAGTGCAAGCGATTTAAATACATTAAGAAATCGCAAGTGTTTTTTCCATAATTTTTATTTTAGCTTGACATATGTGTTAAGTGATGCCAAATACTGCTATTTGCGAAAATTTAGCATTTTAAAAGCGCTAACATAGTAAAATTAATAGAGAGCGAGAGAGTTGATTTTACATATGTTTTTGTGCACATTTTTTATTTGTGATGTTATTAACAGAAAGTTTGAAATTTTCCCTATCTTGAATTAGTTAAGCTTTTTTAGAGCTTTAATGTTAATATATTTTGTCTTGATAAACATATGCTGTTATTTTAACAACTTTTTATCACAATTAATTATTTAATTATTTACTGAGAGTAAAACTAAATTTCTTTTATTTCAAAATTTTATAATCTTAAACAATTTCCTTTGCAGATATTGCAAGAATAGCTGAAAACGTTGGGTATACGTACTTTTTAATAATTATTTTTCTTTGAAATTGAAGTGGAAAAGTTTCTTATTAAAATATATTCTTATAAGCTTATTCACTTGGAGTAATGCAACAAAAATACATCAGACCCCCGATGTTTTGAAAACAAAGGAATGGATAGATCGATAAACTCGATGAATTCTCTTCTTTTCAAGAACACATGTACTTTTTTTTTGAATATTAAAAGTTAGCATAACTGCAATTGTCGGTGAGAATATGGATGAACTTGTAGTGTAGGTACAGATATGACCGCTTTCCATAAGGGATTTATATATTTATTTTGTTTTGAGGATGTAAAACAAGAAAGGACGAAAGGACTTGTTTAAAGAATTAAGAAATATGTGTTAAGAAATGTTAAGAAATGTTAAGATATGTTAAAATCAACGTCAAGATGTTAAGGGCGGTGCTAAGATACTAAGATATGTTAAAATATCTAAAATGAACTTTACTTTTCAAAATTGTTTGAAAAATATTTCATTTATAGGAACATAATTAGTTGTTCCGTATAGCCTTGGACTCAAATTTCATGGATCATCGGTCTGTTCACAATTGCTAAGGAAAAAATTAGATGTTTTCCCTCTCTTTACTCCAACTATCCCATCTTTGCTAAGAGTTAAAATTAATTTTACGATCTTGTAAAACTTATTCTTCTTCGTGTTCTTCTTCCTCCTAAATTTAGCGGATCAACTACAGATGGTTCGCTGTGATATGCAGAAAAGAAATAACAAGTCCATGAAAATATTAAGAAAACACAAACCAAATAAGGTGACTTGATTCCATTTACTTTTATTGTAAACAAATCGTTTAAGGTGGGGAGAATCATCCCATTAGATATTGCGCGCGAAGGCTTTTCCTCAACAAAAAAAAAAAACTGCTCTAGTGTAATGACGCTACCTTTGCACTTAGGCACTACATAGCACTGCAACTAAGGATTGCTTCTATACGATTCAGGTGGAGTGTAAGTTAAACTTTGTGATATTCGTAATTACGATTCTCATAAGTTTATTTTCAGTCCACATACACCGGTGTTCATTCTGTTTTGTTTTGACCGTTAAAGGAAATTTCAAGTGAGAAGTGATCGCTGCTATGAAATGCATGTGGGCGTACGTAAGCTGACAATGTCAGTGTCGATATTGCTATAACGAATAAAACATAGAAACAGAGAAAACAACCGTTTTAGCGATCAAAAACATCATAAAGAATAGTAGGCTTTGTAAAAAAAAAAAAAAAAAAAAACACTTAAACACAAAAACAAAATAATTCGTCACCATTCGTGCAACCATATATACATACATATATACACTTGTAGTTTTATTCAGTCTATTATTGTATGCAAATATTTACGTTAAGTGAAGTGAAGTGAAAAAAGGCCGTCAAACTGCTTTACTTTTCAGAATTGTTTAAAAACTATTTATTTTATTTATAGGAACATAGCTCTCTTTACTCTGTATAGTGTTGCGCTGAAATTTCAACGGGTCAGTTCGTCGTGTAAACGCATTGAACGCATTAAACGGGAAAATTTGAAAATACAAAAAAAAGAGTAATAATGCCTTTAAAAAAGAAAGATGATTATATACCCATTAAATGTGAGGGATGGAATGGTAAATTTGTCTACGCACCGGGCACAACCAATAATGTTTCCAAAGTTCGTCGTCACAATCAAAATGTAACGGATACGCAAAATTTCTATGGCTATAATACGGAACCAATTGTTTTGCCCACATCTTGGGATGGTACGTTCAAGAAGAGCGATGAAGTTATTATTAAACCCGAACGTAATCGTTCCGATGATACGGAATATTTTGAATATAATACGGAACCGACAATCTTGCCAACCACTTGGAATGGACAATTCGAAGTCGATCCAAACGATGTACGCATCAAACCGGAGAGAAATTTTTCCGATGTCCGCGACTATGCCGAAGCTCGACGTTTCAAGCGGGCTTAGAGAAGGGAAATGAAATTGAAATTCTGTTTACGTTTACTACTAATAAGTTGGTTTAGTGTTTAGTGGGTACCTGAAAGCTTTTAAATTATTTATTAACCTATGAATTAAAGTGAAAATAAAAAATGTTTACATTTTAATTAATTAATTTTACGCCTATGTTTTGATGTTTGAAACAACTTTAAATAAGTGTAGTGTAGGCTTAGCTTGCGCTGTTGCGCCCTCCATTCTTCTTCTATGGAAGGCATGAAAAGGTAATTTTTATGTTGTTAACGCGAAAAGATAGAAGCTGATGAAAATTGAATAACTCACACTGGCAGCCGATGTTTACACTTAATTAAAAAAAAATCCAAACGTCAGATACTTAATAAATGCGTAATAACTGTTCATTAGTCGATGTTGAGCTTACGTCCGATATTTAACGCCCCCGAATAGCAATTTTTAGCTATAAAGATAAAGGTTTAGTGGCTATCGATCGACAAGAGCAAGAAACCTTTTGGAGATTAACGACCACACTCTGAGCAACATCACAGACATTTCATAAATCAAAAGGCATTTTGTTTGCTTGTGGTTTTCGTGTCCACTATTCGCGTAACATCGCCACTGGCAGAAAGAAGAGAAGAAAGAGAAAGAAGTAGGGAGGCGGTGGCCTGGCCAAATCAATGACATAATGGCTCCATAAGAAATGAATTGGTTTATTAGAAATTTTCGATGCACTGGTTGTATGTATTAGTGTGACTTAGTTTGGACTTATCCTTAGACATAATCAAAACAAATTTTTTATCGATTAACGGGACGTTAAATGCGCGCAATTGTAGAAAATAGCCATTTTTTTTTAGTTTCTTTTTTGCCAACAGCACCCACATCTGTTAAAGATTCGAATATGCTACGGGTTTTATCCGGTTGGCTCGGAGCGATGCTGTGATTTAAACATCGATGACTGGTATATAAAGTATTGAAGAAGAAAGCAAAAGCAAAATGTATTGAGCCCTTTTTTTTTAAGATTTCGGAACTGATGATAAAACTATAATTGTCAATTTTTTTTTTTTTTTAATTTAAATTCTCTTTTTTAGTAAGTTGTCTGTCAACACAACACCCGGCGCAATATCAATGAGGAACTGAGAACATCAGCGGACGACAACTAAACCGTCTTTGTAGCCAATCGGAGACAAGTCGAACCGAATCTTTTATTAATAAATAAGTTAACTTATTTTATAGATATGATAAAAAAATATATATATATATATTGTTACAGCTAGACTGCTTGCCGTTTTAAGAAACATGGTTTTAAGCAAAATGAGTATAAAGTTTAGAGGTTCTTTACTGCTCCTATGCAAACTATTCGGACAATCGTATAATAAGTAAAAATACTATAGCGGGACACGGCGCACCATCTAGCCTACGCCATTTCGTTTGATACGGTTGTTCATATAACCAATTTTTTAAAAATAAAGTGTTGCATAGGTAGTGGTCGAAAAATTGGTCGGAGATTTCCAAGGGTGTTGATCTTCAAATCAGTCAAACAAACCGGTGTAACAAATCTCATCAAAATATCTTAAATATTGCGACCTGCAGGTTAAACACAAGAAAATGTTACCGGCAGACGGACGCAAGAGAGGCAAATGAACAGTCGTTTTAAAAAGTAACTCTGAATTTAGCGGTGAATAGTGAACGGCGTGCTACAAATGGTGTAGGATATTAAAAAAAAAAAGATTTTCTGACGAATTTACTCAGGCGTTATCTCTGCAGTTTGTACCCTTGCATTGTGAAGTTTACTTACATTAAAGCTCAAGAGCTTTACATGCAGAAAAATATTATAGTTTTCTTACTTAGAATATTGTTTAAAAGAAATTATGTTCGCTTTAATGTTAGGACACATGTTTCATTGGCTTTCGAAACTTTCAGAAATTCTCTCCGCAAGGAAATTGGATAGATTTTCGCTTCATGCAAACTATCAATTGATAATTGAGACAAAAAATGAAAAACGCCTGAAGGTATGCATTTCAAAAACCGAATTATGTGAATTTTACCGAAACCGATTATATTTGCTTAGAGATTTCACTCGCTACTTTCGATATATCAGATCATAATTTCAATGAAATACTTAACTTTATTAAAATGGCTTAAACCAACCTTTCAATCCGTCTGTTTTAAACAATAGGGCCGATAATTGTAGTTGATCGCACCCATCTTAGTGTAGTCCTGATATCTCTTTGTTTGGTCTAAATAAATTACAATAATAATAACAATAACTTTAGATGTGTCAATAATTGTCGTCGAGATAGACGAACGAAAGTAAATTAAAATTTTTCTCTACATTTCAAAGAAGCGAATTTGCGCTTACCTAAGTTTGCTTTGATTATTGCTGTTCTAGCCAATGGTTTTGTTTTTAAATTTTGAAGAAACTAATGCCGTTTCTTTGAGTTTCACAGCGGCTTTGCATTTGAGAATAACTGCTAAAGCCTAAACATATGCAATGGAAAACCCTTAAGAAAGAAAAAATGTTTAATCATAGAAAGGAAATTTTTTCAAGATGCAGGGGAAATTTCTTTTTATTTCTCTCCATTTTTTACCGGTATTTTTCTACTTATTTTTGTCATCCAAAATACCCATATTTCACTTTTGCAGATTGTTTTTGTGTCTCTTCCTTTTGTTGGCATGGTTCAGCTTTATTATAACTGTGCATGATGAATATATACGTTATGATCCGTCCATCAGTCCTTTTAGGATTTCCTTATAAAATTTGATCACTACGAATGGTTCTTTACCGCAACAATGTATTTTAGAAAATATTTTGCAACCTACTTTCCTATCACACACACCCTATATCCGGTCAGTATACGAGTGTGTCGCTAAAGACTTTGACACTGTTAGCTGGTAAAGTAATTTTTTTTTTTTAGATCCAAATTTGCGTCATGAAGAAATTTTGTTTGAATGATCAGAACAAAACGTGTCTTAATGGAAAAAAAATTAGGAAATAAACTTGATCTCTGTGGAAAATTCTGGCATCGGATTATAATTTATTGGAAAGGCTTATCTATTATTCTTACGTGTATTGTAGAAAAACATTTGACGGACATATGCATGCTGTTATGTAAACTAGGGTTTGTAATGAATAATAAATTCTTAGTAATTGTTGAACGGCCATGTCGTCTGCAGTGGAGAAATGCAGATTTAAAAATTCCTTAAATTTTTCTTACAATTTTTGAATTGTTTTCCTAAGCCGGAAGAGAAGCAGACATCTTTCTAGACAACGTTTGTCAAGCAAATAAGAAAAATGATGTAAATAAATTCAAGTGTGGAATGATTATATTATTCAAATATATAGCAAGATCTCGTTTTTTCACGTGAAATTCGGAATGTTTTTGTTTTACTTAATCGTTTAATTAATCGACTTTGCTTGGTCTAATCGCAGCAACTTCAGCATTGTCTACTTTTATATATAAATCAATTCTATGAAAATCTATGAACCGTTGTTAGCCATTCTATGAATATTTTTTTAACTTTTTGGTGGACTTTCAGTACTTGTCATATCTCCTTTTTCCGAACTTGCTGTTAGCAGTAAGCAAGTGTTTGAAGTACCGTATAATGAATTTGTGATTGTAATATTTTCAGAATTTAAATCGCTTAGGGGCACTCGTTGCAGATTATTGCAAGTGTGACCCTGTTTGCACATGCAATAATTATCGTTCGATTTCATGCACAAATCGATATTCAATTTTATCTCGGCAATGGCCATCACCGCTTGAAAATCAATTACAAATGAACAATTTAAGGCGGCCTTGATGTGTGCTCGAGCGTAATGCTCGGAATTATCCATTTGTTCATCGAATTTTAAATTATGATCGACGGTAAACTCATTGGCATTAAAAATCTAAAATTATTCAAAATATTATTCAAAATAATCGCACATCTCTCTCGATCTTATAGATTATTGCTTACTTGCTCTTCAATGCAGGTATAGGGCGTGTTAACTTCCGCCAAACAATTTGAGATACTTTTCTCAAAATTATTTGCATAATAGTTATTTAATGTTTTAAGTAATTCTCGCGGTTCAGTTCCAATAACACGTAATTGATATTTAGCCACGTCAAGACATTCCGAGATATCGTCTTGAGTTCTCGCGGAATTTGGCATATCGTTACGATATTTGCTAACGCATTTCTTACTCTGCTCGTTCAATAATTCCAACGGAAACAAGCGCTCTTCCGCCTGCCGTATCCGATCTAATAGCAATTGTTTTTGAATTTCAATAGTTTCCAAATTTTTCTCAAACAACTTATGAAGCGCATCGATACGATTATTGTAGTCGTCCAAATGGGCGGCGAATTGACGCCTATGGCTTTCTAGATAATCTTCAAGGGCGACCTTTGTATTGCCAGGAGTGGTATTTGCAATTTCCGTTGCAACGTCAGCCTTTAAATGAATTATAATTCAAGACACACATGTAACATAACACATATATTCAGTCCGTTTCTGTTATGAAATTCACCCCTAATGTTAATCTTGCCCACGCTGCTATTAATACTATTGTTATTCCAAGCGGCATTAGTCCTGATGATATTTTTTTTTTTTTAATTTCTACCAATGACTTCAGGAATACTCGTACTGAAGGAATGTACAAAGCAATATCGCTTTTTATATGGTTGTTACATGGTTCGTGGTCTCACAATTCACGTTGTATTTATCTTAATTTATTTGATTTGCTATGGATGTTACGTTGCTTATGCATTTTTAAAATTGCTTGCATTTTAGGTTTTGTTTTTTTTGTTTTCTTTTCGTGTTGGAAAAGTTTTCAAATGAGTCTCCGATAGACATTCTTTGCTTTGTTTCCACATTTTAATAAAAAAAAATTTAAGTGGAAAAGGCTTTCGACCTGTCGACGGATCACCCGATCGGGATTGTTTTCACATTAAACTTTTTCGATAACTACTCGTGTCACATTTTACATCGTTATTTACTTACTTTACTTTTATGTTATTTCGTTTACCTGACTGAAATATCTCGACTACCGGCTTAATGGTTGTGGGTTCAAATCTCCAGTAAAGTGAAGTTTTCAGCAAAGCCAATAGCCCTAGATGCTAAGGATTTAAGTCTTTAGTCTTAGAATTTATTTCTCGGTTGACGTAATAAGAAGAGAAGGGCATGTTATGTGAAGTACATTATATGTAGACAGATGAAGGGACAAATATAAAAAGATCTGGTAGAGAAATTTGCGCGAACCGGGATAACATCGTATATGTGCAATTTGTTCTTCCGAACCTTTTCAAAAAGCATTCTTATGTACTTGAGAGACAGGCTGTCAAGAATTATGAATAGAAACCGCTGTCTTCACTTCTCCTTCTCTTTCTTCGGAATACAAGTTGCAAGAAAGTATAGCTTGAAACAAGTAATAGGCTCACCATTAAGTAACCTACAGCGCTTCGTTTAGTGCAGCTATTCAAAATAGTAACGCTTCAAGATAAGGTACTGTATGGGAAGTGGGAAGTGATCGAAGTAGTGGTCCGACTCGAATCATTGTCAATACCAATCGTCCGTGGGGGAGACGCGTGGATATAGCAAATTTTATTAAAATATCTCAAAAAACGCGACCTGTAGGTTGAGCACATAAAAACGAGGCTGACAGATGGACACACGGGTAGGGAAACTTTAAGCGATTCTGAATCCATTGTTGTAATAAAAGGTGGGTTTATCTCAAGCGATTCTGAATGCGGCACACATGCGCAGAAACTTAATAAGCCCTTATATCCAAACTGATGTAGACTATGTGATATGTGATGTGTGTGTGGACAGTTTATTTAACGTCGTGGTACTAAGCGTTCCATATTCGTTTTTGCTCGTATATTTAGAATAAGTAAGAGGGCGAAGAAGGCTCGGAGATAAATCCTTGATATCTTCTCTCTTTTCAAAAGAGTATGGGGTAAAGCTATAAGAAGGGACACCTAGGTTTAATGTAAATTCAAATAAAAATTGAAATCCAAATCGTTCGATAATGGATATATAAAGGGGCAAAAGGAGGCTTTACGTTCCGAATATCTTTCAATTTTTACGTACGGCATAGCTTGAAAACATTTTCAGGGAGAATCAAAGAAAGAAAGAAGAAAAGTCGGTGGTAGCAGTTGGTATACCTGATGTGAATTCTTAATTAACGTGAACATCTTAACCAGTGGATGTCGATGTATTGAGATCATGATTATTGGCATTGCTCTGTTTACAACTAATTCTCAAATTTCTTGTCAGATTAAGTTCAAAAATTAGCTCAATTGCTTCGGTTGCAAATTAATTTAATTAATTCAAACTTTCACATGAAAAAGTTCTCTTTAATAAAATCTACGACTCATATTGAAATATCGCCCAAATCTGGGTATAAATGAATGAGGCTTTTAGTAAACGAAAATACCAGAAGAGTGCTGCATAAAAATACGATATAAATTTATAGAGGATACGATATAGGATTTACGCCGAGTGAGTGGATTCTCGCCTTAATTTCCCATCAAATTCGTGTTGCATTCAGAAAGCTAAAAGTGAGTGTTCGATACTTGCCCTTTTCATTTTCATTGCTTTTCATTCGTGACAGGTCAGAATCCGCGTAAAATAGTCTTTCTTTTAGGGAGAAAGTGAAATGAAATTCTTAGGTTGTGCAGACAACTAAGATTCGGAAAATAAAACCTTTTAATTGAACATGGACTTGATCCAGTGACTTGAAGAATTTCAACGCTTTTCCAAATCTAGAAAGAAGGTCTACTGCCAAAAGATGATTGAAAAGCTTTCCAGGAAAAAGTAATGATCGATAATTTAAGATCGATGTTCGTGAAAGTTTTCTAAACTGACCTTTAGGTGCTCGAAATGGCAGCACAAGGATATCCCAGATACGCTTTAAATTTTATTTCTCTACGACAATAACAAATCGTACAAACAAAAACAAAAGTCATACAAGGTGTGTCCTGTTTTACGATTTTTAGAAATTTATCTGTCATATCAAAAATAGTTGACACAGTGTTGTAATTATGGCCAACTTTTTCCAACTTCATATTATACTAATTTCCATGAGATCGTTTGCTTCAAACGGACCTATCAAGTGTAGCGGTTCTGAAGTGTACATTATTTTCTAATTATGTTACCAAACGCCATCCATCTGGGAGAAGTTAAAGTTCCCTACAAAAAAGAGAAAGAGAAAAAAAAAACTCTTGCAATTAAGTTTGCAGCGAATTTAAATGCCTGTCGACAGACCGATTTGGAATTCGGACATCGCCAATTCCTTGGCAGCATGTAAAAAATGATTATGTCATTTGTGACTCGTATTATATTCAGTTTACAAACCGTGGGCTTTCCAGAGTGCTTCAGCGGCTGCACGCTGTTGTTCAAATCTAGATTTCCAGAAAATTTCGCTAACTTCCTCATCGGTTTCTGGAAGATCTATTATCTTAGAGTCAGAGTCTTGCTTCTGTTGTGTAAGAGGAGAACTAGGAAAGATTCCAGATTCCTGGGTAGGCAAAGCGCTCAGAAGAGATGGCTTTGTCAGAAGAGATGGCTTTGTCAGAGGAGATGGCTTTGTCAGAGGAGATGGCTTTGTCAGAAGAGAACTTGGAGAAATTTGCTCTATCATCGGAGTGTCTGGAGGACTTGCCTTCGCGAAACTTGGTTTCTCTAGACTTGGCTTTGTAAGAGGAGAATTCCCGACCCTTTCGCCAAGAGGAAACCTCGGAGAGCTCTCGATTTCCTTAATTTCTTCTGTAACAGGAGAACTCGGGAAAGTGACAGGTTCAAGACTTTGCTTTGCAAGTTTGGAGCTCCGCAGCACTCGAGGTGCTTGTAATGTGTGTGCGAAAAGGGAGCCCGAGAACTTTTCAGATTCCTCGTCTTGCCCTAAAGCATGTAAAAATATTTAAAACTATATTTCATTTCCGTCCTTCACGAACTCTTTTTACAAACCCGCTTCTCGAGTTATGTTGATCAGGACGGGTTCGTCAGTTTCCGTTTTTAGGAGCACGCAAGTTTTGCTCTTTTGACTGCTGCCAAATTCATTCGACGTGAAGATACTTTCGGCATTTAACACGTCTGGGGTCACTTGTTTTACATTATTACAAGCGTAAGTATCCTTACAAGTGCAAAATTCCTGACCTTTAAGACAGCTATGGATTTTTGACTTGACCTCAACAAGAGCGATAGCAGCATCAAAATGCACCGACAATGAACAATTAAAAGCCGATTTGATGAACGTTCTCGCCTGACATTCAGCAGATTCCAAGTCGTTATCAAATCTCCGCTTAATCTCATCCGCATACTCGTTCGCCTTGAGAACCTAAAATATCCCATCAAATCAAACTTATCGGGGGGAGGAAAAGGAAAGAAAGAATATTGCCATTATAATTTTCCGCTTACTTCGTCGCCAAGCAGTGACAGGCTATCATTTCCGGTGTTTCGAATTTTTTCTTCAACATTCAGGAACGTGGTTTCATAATATTCACGCAAATCATCAACAGTCCCTTTGGCATTATTTAGTAAACTGTTCGATTTATTCTTAGCCGTTTCGACGCATAGTTCCGTAGTTTGTTTAATTGATGTTATACTTGGTACATTGCCACGATAGCGAGCAATGCAATATTTATTGAGTCCACTTAAATATTCGGTCGTGTAGACGTTGCTCTCCAAAAATTGCATATGATAATAGAGAAAACGTTCTTGCTCCCGAATAAGTTCGATTTGATTTTCATAAATCGACATAAACGCACGAAGACGATTTTTGAAATTTCGAATTCGTGCTGCATGCTGACGTTTATATAGCTCAATGTACGTATCAATCGTAAGAGTTTCGTTATGTTCTTCTGATTCATTTGCATGGACCTTTAGATGAATTAATTATATCTTTACAACTTATTACATATTCATGTCAGTTTTATTTTATAATTTTTAATTCACCTTTAGCGTTAATATTGCTGCTGCTAACGTTATGAAAACTTTTATTAAATACATTTTCTTTAAAAAAATATTATTAATTTATTATTATTATTATTATTTTTTTTTTTTTTTTTGCTTTTTCCAAGACACTAATAACTGCTAATGCATTTTTATAGCTTCTTATAACATTCCGTTGTTGAGATCTTATCGGTTATCATGTTGAAAGCGTTTCATTTGATTTTCTACACTCGCCACAAATTCTATTATTCCATGCATAAGTGTTAACAAAACAATTATAAACACCGTTTAAGAATCGCATTATTAAACAAACTGCTTACACTCAACTACTTGGCTTCAGTCTGTGTTCAATTTGTCTATACAACGTTTCGCCCTCCAGGTTGGATTTTAGCTATTTATACAGTTAATTGTCTTCAATAGGTAAACATTTCATGGAGCATTTCATGTTAAAGGCTGCTTACTAGGATTTTACGGTTTTTATTTTTATATAACATAGCTGTGGCGAATCATACAGCGGTCAGTCGTACACAGCTATCACATCAGCAGCCAAGGGTTTGCAACGCTTTATTTTTATCCCGCATACTCTCATCTACAAACGAAACAGTCAAGTGAGGCGCTATCGTGCTTCTCTGTTACCTAGTTGCCAGCCAGTTAAAAAGTGCCAAAATATACTTTCAACTACGTGATTGAGCCCGGCTTAATTTTGGAGGTTATAGTATATATGTTACGATACCACATACTAACATATTGATAAGAAAGTAATTTCAGGTCGGACTATGAGCCGATCAATAGTCATCTCTGGTGATGGTTTCGAAATGGACAATAAAAAAGCAATAGCGCAGTTCAGGGAAACTACTTCTACCGATGTTAAAGCCGGATATTGTTATCGTCCCTAATTTTGCGGAAGATGTATACTGTGCCGAGAAATTGTCGCTGACGAATGCTTACAAGTAGATCGGTCACAATAGGGCGACAGATTTGGAAAAGTGGTTTTTCAGCATGAAGGCGCCAAGTCTTGTATTACAAAACCAATACTACGGCAGTTCCTGGATATTGATCGTTGTCTTCGGAACACGGACGGAAGCTGTAATTGTGGACAAAATTATGCATGCGATAGTATTTAATACGTATACCCAGAAGAGCTCGCTGCTGATGGTATTTCCTTTATAACTTCTTTATATTGGATTGATAGATCGAAACATTGTTTAATGCTTAAAGCCAGTCAGTCAGTCAAATATTTGACGAACTTCGCTATGAAGAACAAAAGTAAAAAAGTGCTTCTAATGCAAGTACGTGCAAGAACTAATGGTTCGACTAGGAACTGAAATATTTTATTGTCAATTTTCACTTTCATTTTTGAAAAGGCATATGTGTAGATGACTTTAACATTTATGTAAGCACTTTCGCATAAGACGATAAGTAGTTAGCAAAAATGTATTAAGAAAAATTATGGAAAATGACAAAAAAAAGAAGATTTACTTTTACCTAAATATAGAGCCTTTTAAAGGAGTAAACCGCTCTAAGAGAACAGACAACGGAATCATAATATTCGAGGAGGACGTTGTTATTTAATTATTAAAAAAAAAAATTTCATTTCGAAAAATATACAAAAGAGAGAGCAGCGGGGACATCCTTGCAAGTAATCTTTAATTAAAGATCATTTGTTTAGTACATTTAGGCAGTTCTGCGGCAGGCCGAGTAAGTCAAATCCATATTTGAATCTAGAAAAAGAAGTCAGAAAATTATTTTAGACCGCGACCGAACCTCTTACTATCTTTGTCCCAAAAAAAGCTTAGAAAAAAAGGAAAAAACTACATTTCCTTACTCGATGATATTGCGTGAGCGTGGAAAAAAGGAAATTTATACCGTCGTGTGTTTGTTGTGCATCTTCTACGTATATCGGACTCTTCAAGTAATTGCATTTGATGCTCATATTGACGCGATTGTTAAGAACAAGTTGGTCAACTATGTTGCTTTTCCTTTTTTTTTCATTTTATCCATTTTTAAAGGCAAAGTAGTATGTGTAGTGATTATTACGTTCAATGGAACTTTTCTTTCATCGCAACAATCCAGCAGCAGCGTAAATTAGCAAAATGCAACTAAGTATAATTTTATTCTTGTGTCATATTAAATTGATTACTATGTAGATTATTATTTACATAGCAGTTGTCTTTCTGTCTAGAGTCTGTCTTACTAGACTACTACTACTACTACTACTAGTTGTGTGTGTTTAATACCGATAAAAATCATCAGAGCTAATTGCGGGCAATCAATAGTCGCGATAGCAAATCGGAAGTAATTAACTAAGCTTCGATTAGAAGTGAAAAGAAAAAAAACAAAAATTTTTTTATTTTCTCTAAGACATAGCTCTTATCAATGTAGGAAAATAAATGTAAAATCAATATGAACTTGAATTATTCGTCTATAAATAGTCGGAATTGTAAACAGAATTAGAAACATTTATTAATTGTAAAGTTGTTAAGCATCACTTCACTTAAACGTTTCAAATAAGTTTCTCTTTGCTAACGCAGCGGAGAAGTATTCGAAATCGAATTAAATAAATAAATAAATAAATAAATTGAAAAAAAAAAATATATATATATATACAAATAAATACATAAAGAGAAATGTATAATAAAGTTGTGAAAATTATTATTGCATTTGCAACTTTCTTTAGTTTCTCTAATGCGGCACAGGTTAGGCAAAGAGTTTGCAAGAAAACAACTGAGAAAAATTATATCTATTTATATAACCATCACCTTAAGTCAACCATTTGATGGAAATCAACTTTTTGTTAGTTATGATGATTGAGAGTTAGACGCTTGCAACCATTCGTTGCCCGATTTTCACTGAACTTTAGAGAGGCTCTCGCTATACGGTTTCAAGTTTTTACTCCGCTCCTTATGGTTCGGTTATCGTTATTTTAAACAATACATGTATGAGTTTTCAGCTTTTTAAATAAAAAGACAGACAGAACTAAATCAGCTCAATATTATAGGCTGATCGGGCATATATATCTGTGCAGGTGTTAAAGGGCCTTCAATGTGCAATTCTGAAAGGAAATACTGACACGGTGGTGGATATATAAGAAACTGTACAAGACTTCTCTTTATATTTTTCTTTTTCTTCTGCATTTTGTTTTTGTTCATTTAGAAACAAGTCACAATTATGCCAGAAGCGTGGTATGCAAGTCAAAGTGCTACCGCTCGAGTTGATAACTATATACTGCAGCATCAGCGACAATTTGAACAACAATTAAAGGATATTGATCGACAACTAGAAGATTTTCGCAGTTCGTATGCGTTACGTTTATCAGTAATTGAGGCTTATGATCAAATTGTCGCCGATAAACTAAAGGAAATGGAGAATAAATTTTATCCATTGGAAATGTTAAATGAAGTAAATGATTTTTGCGTGGAAAAATATCGTGATAAAATACCAATCGCTCATAGCGTAAAAAGTAATTTGAAGGAATCCATGCGGAAAGCAAGTTCAGCTCTAAGCGCTATGGTTAAAAATCCTGAGGATACTTTGAAAAATATGCGCAATCATTTTGTTGCTCAATTCACGAATGGCATTAAAGAATGTAAAAGAAAATTTGAGAAAATTGAAGCCAAATATCATAGCTGTGCCAGTGGTGTGGTGAGTTACAACATAAAACAACTAAGAAGGTTATAATCGGCGCGGACCGAATTTTGCATACTCTCCACTTTGTTTTTCGAACTCTACTCTCCAAGTTCTTTTATTTGATACCCATATTGCTGGTATTATTAAGAAACAATTAATCGCGGTGTCTATCAATTTCGGAATTAACCCATTTTTAAGGCAGATAATATGTCTTCCTTTGAGGTATGTAGAAAATAATTTTAAACACTTTGTCTTGTTTGCCTTATAATAAACAAACGTAAAGAGTAGAGTGTTTCGTAAAGTCAATGTGGAAAATTTCCCAAAATTTTTGTTAAAAAAAACGAAGTTGCGTTCAGTTTACGCTCAACTGCGCACATTCGCTCTAACCAATTTGGCCCATTTTCAATACCAACCTGTATGTCACCAAATTTGTAGTCGGCAGCTTCATTTTTGCGACCAGGAGAGTGCCAACAATACACACCACACAGCCATGCAGACAGACAGACAGACGGACAGACATGGTCAAATCAAGTCAGAATTTCACGTATACATGCTTTATACGGTCTGTGAGACGCTTCCTTATGAAAGAAAACAAAATGAGTATACGCCCTTCTTACAGTGATGGGTATAAAAATACACTTTACCTCTAAGACATTGTGGCAAAAAAAGGAAAATCCTTCATTTTCTCATTTTTTTTTTTTTTATCTTTAAATTTTTTTTTAGATAAAAGCTACTGACACGTATTTCATCACAAATTTGAACAACTTTTTGAATCAAATGAATTCAGCCGCTTGCATGGCTAATACTAAGTTTGACGACGCCTTTGATTATTACTCAACGCAAATTTATGCAACATTTACGGCTATCGGTGAAGCTGCAGGATTTATTAGCAATTGTATGGCTGGTCACGATGTTTGCTCGCCGTGCAATGATGAGAATTTATCTGCCGTTAAAGGACGTTGCCCGTATCATATGGCTTGGCATTTGGAAGATGACGATTTATCGGGTGAAACTATATTCAATCCTTTTAAGGGTATTAACAAAACCACGCCTTGTTTGCAGATTAATTTTATTACTAATGATTTCGTTAATAATGTCGAATTAAATAAATAATTTTTTAAAATTAATATTATTTAATTCTTCTTCTTATTCTTTCTTTTTGTGAATAATGAACAAATCTTTTGATTTTCCTTAGAGATAAGGAACTACAAAGTTTGTAGAAAGTAAGTGCATAACAGTTATTTGATAAAGCAAATAAATCCGCCTACGTGTTTGGTGCAAAAATGATCCGAATCGGTTTGCTAATACATCGGCAATTAACGGTTAAATAGGTGAGTTTGCATTTATATACAATTTTACGCGTTTTTGCTACTATTTGATATTACGATATTAAATTTACGATCATTGAACATACATACGCATCTTTTCATTGACATGGTGGATATATTAAAAGAAAATTCTTAAAGAAATTATTTATGCCTTTTTCATTTTCAGTGACAGTCTTCTTCGATACATCTACCACAAGCGAGATCTATCTATACATAAAATGCACACTCGTCAAATTAACAGATGCCGAAAACCTAAGGTTAAAATATTTCTTCCAAACACTTTGACAAAAAATTTCATTTGCATATGTAGATGTCTGTGTAAGAGGGAGAGAGAGGATTTCCATGTTTCTTTGTTGCCTATGTTTATATGAAATTATGCCAAATATTTTATTGGAATTACTCTTCCTCTTCCCTAGATTTGTTCACACCCAATCAATGGAAAAGCTAAACCTTTCTCTTGTCGGAAAAACCTATTGTTATGCACAATAATTATACTTTTGTCTTTCTTTCTTTCTTTCTTTCTTTCGTCACTAGAAGGCAAAATACAGCAAACAATTATGACAACAGTTTACGTATTTTCCTTTTGTGTGTTCGTCTAAACGGAAAATTTGTTTAGTTTTCGCCAACTTTTTGCAATGTGACCGATTGTCAGAAGATATTAGTTGGGTTAGCAAACAATTTATTATGATCGCACTAATATCATGAACTTTACGTCATCATCCCCTTTGAAGCATTTTCTTACTTGAGTCGCGCTGAACTTTCTTCAAAAAGTGTTTGCACATGTCACTCTGTAAGCGACATTTCCTAAGCTGAACTTTCTTACTTCTCTTTAGATTCTAAATTATTCTTAATAAAAAATTTCCGAAAGTTAAGCAGTTAACTATGTCGACCTCTTTAGCGTGACTCGCACACTCGTGAAAAGCAGAGTATGTTACTACGATATTAATCTGTAATGATACGATTTGCCAAAAGTATTTGTTAAAATACTTTATCATGGCTAATATGCATCTTCTTGAGGAAATTCGGCAAAGACGCATGGGCCGATAATGACGTATATATTCGTTTATGCAATAAATTACATTTACTGATTATCATCAAGCCGCAATGAAATAGATTCGGGGAAGACTTTGAAAAGTTGGCACACATATACAATTTCTCTTAAGCTCTAGCGAAACAATGCGTTATAACTCTTTGGACAACCTAAAAAGGTAATACTATTAATATTCTGTAGATAATAAGTAGTTGGAGTTTGCGCTTGTAAAACAATGCAAAGTAATGACGGAATGATTGTGAGGATGACGCACCCAAATTTTCCATTATTCAAAATTAATATTATTGAGCTGATGAAGAGAAAATATGACTTTTTTCTTTTTTTTTTTTTTGATAATGTTTTATTCAAGTTTTTCATAGATTAAATATTTTCTTGGAATGTTTTCATATTAAATTTTTTTACATTTAAGAAATTCTTTGAATTGTGTTGTTGTAATATTAGAAAATAAGATTTTAAAATAACTTTTTTGGCAAAATTGCATCCATTCGTCTGCTTAGGTCCATATTCTCAAGTACTTGTACCTCCATCGGTTCGGATTAGTTGCTAATTTCATGAGAATTCTCGATCGTATCCATCTTATTTACTATCTTTCCTTCTTGTTCCCAATCCTCAGCTGGTTCGTGGTAATCTTGATGTTCTCTGCCTTCTTCAAGTTGATTCTCATCATTATCAACATTTCTCTTTAAGGGTCTGTCATCTCGACGATGCCAATTTTCATTCGATTTTGTAGATTTATTATCAAACTTTTCTAGCTTGATTTCTTTCATTTTCTCCTCTAAACGTTTCTCAATTTCCAAATCTTTTGCTAAAGTATTAATAGGTTTTGCAGATCCAAATATTGAGTTCGCTGAGCTTTCAGAAAGTTTCGATTTCATCATATTTTCCGATTTGCTTAGTTCCGGTTCAGATGTAGTTACTATCTCCGACACTGGTAATGTACGTGGTTTCAAGTTTAATTTTGGTCTTTCTTGCAAGTTTCCGTGCTCCTCCGCGGGAGACCTTTGACGTGTGAAATTATTACTAGAACGATTACCAAATCTCCAAGAGCCTGCAACGTTATGGTTCTCAACAGATTTTGCATTTTCCGTGTTTTTATTACCGTTTCTCCAGTTGGTGTCATCAGTTGACTTACCACCGCTCCTCCAATTACTAGATTCCCGAGCTTCATTATCGAAACTACGCCAATTTCCCGCTTGTTTTCTGGCATTTTGTTGCTCAATTCCGTTCGATAGCTTAATTTCTATGCGACGTCCTTTTATATTCGGATTCGGTAAACTCAAAGCCTGTATTAGATCATCCCTTGCGTTTACGTCGATATAACCGAAACCTCTGAAACGCCCCGTGCCGCCATTCTCACGAATCAAGCGCACATTTACCACATTACATAATTTGAAATATTCATTTATGTCAGTCTCGTTTACGTCGAATGGCAAATTACTTAAGTACGCGACAAATGGCGGCTCGTAGGGAATAGAGCTATCATCGAAAATTTGTTGAGATCGCGGCGCTGTTGGAAGTTGGTAAACTTGATGGGAAACGGATGATGAATCACTGTCACTGCTATCCGTATTAAAATTTGGAATTTTCTTGATGACTTGAACGGTACCAGCGGGAGTCCCAGTATCGCCTAGGAACTCATTCAAAGAAATAGCTTTGGCTATACCTTTTCTGCCTTTCTTTCCTGACGGAGCTCCCTTCATAATTCAAATTTCGATTGAAAATTTATTACAATAATGCAGAAGTGAAACGGTTGTCGTTAACTTGCTTGAGGACACGCAATGAAGTGAATGGTTTAAGTGGCTCGCATTTATATAATTGACACAAGTCAATGTTAATCTTGGTTGTTTACCTGTTCAATTCTTTTGCCCTTGTCAAGTACATCATTGTTCGCAGGTATTTATATTACGTTAGGTTAGCTTATCTTGCGATAATTTAGAAATTACGGGATTTTATATAATACCTTTGTAGGAAACTCAATTATTTTGTGTTTCAAAGAACATGAGAAAAAAAACCAGCAAAAATTTCGTATATTGCCGTCTTTATGGCTATGAATGAACGCGATAAAGATGAACAAACTGCCATATGTTGACAAAATCTTTATATGAAAAAAATTTGGAATTTGGCATTTGTAGGGTGAACCTGGAGATGTCGTAAACGGTAGGACGATTTTTTGAATTCTCCGCCATACAAATGTCCTCGCAAAAGATAGCAAGAAGGTTTAACTTTTAATATTTTATTGCAGTGTAACGGCAGGAATTGCAATTTGTGACATGTAAGTCTATTGCGTGCTGTGTATCTGGTTTGAGTTAAGTTGAAAACAATGAGGAGATTAAAATTGCTTAGACCTTCTTCTGATTTGTTAATTTTTTTTTTTTTTTTTAGTTATTTTCAAAATTTATTGTTGTTATTTTTAGCTATTCTTGTACTTTTTCCCGCACGTCTAATAAAACTGGATCTAGGAATATTTTTATTATTTTGTTATTTTTTTATTATTTCTTTTCTTATATAATCAATCACTCAGGTGATGTCCTCCGTCCCTGTAACATGTCGACTGCGTACCGTACTCTGACTTGGTAGGTGCGCTATTTAGGTTAAATTCCCGATACAATGATTTTTAACGCGACAAATCTAGGCCGTATGAACCGATATTGTACAAATCTTGTTAAGAATGTTATGTGGATCAAGTATATTTATATATATTATATGAGGTTAATGAGGGAGGGGTACATTAATTAGCAGGAACTATATTTTAGATTATGACTAACGAGTAGGTCTTAAATTTCGAGACATTTTCCCATTATAGAATTGATAGAAATAATTGTCCTTTTAAAAATATTTCTCAACAAGTAGAGAAAGAACGATTTCATGACGATAGAAACATTCTACACACATGTAGTTATGAGATAATCAATGCCACCTAATAATGAAACGTTTACAAACGAAACGACAAACTTAGTTCTTATCCAAAATGATGTACGAAAAGTATAATAATTTCCCTTGTATAATTTCTAGTGTACGTACGTTCATTATGTATGTAAATTGAAGTAAACAATGTTGGCGCCTTTCGTGATATTTGCAAGTGATTATCATAATAGACATTCTCCAGAGAATTGTTTTATTCAGTTATTGTTATTAGAGGAGTGCATGGCGGCCTGACACAAGCCCACGGAGGGAGAGAAATACATTCACAAAGGAATTGGGGCACGGTTCACCATAAAATACCCTACATCACCCGACAGTTTTTCATAACACGACTTTACAAGATGAGGTGTTATACGAGGGAGGTAATTGAAAAAGTGGTCGAACCAATTGAATCATTTTATCAGAATCAACCTATCAGTGTAATATCATCTTAAAAATTGTGGCCTGAAAAATGAATACAAGGAATGAAGACGGACGGACAAGCTTAAATCGATTGGAAAAGTAGATCTCAATTGATTCGTACACACTAGAAGATGAAATAATCTGAAGCTCTTCTAGCCGAATAAACTTAACATGCACTTATAGCAAAAGTGGTGCAGAGTGTGTAAGTGTAAAAAATGATCATATTCTCAATGCGGAAAAAGTGAAATTTCTTTACTCGCCCGTTTTCGAAATTTTATCGATGTCTATCATTAAAGTTTGAGAAGAAAGAGGACAAAAAAGGGAAGAAAGGAAAAATGTTTTGATATTTCTTCGTTAAAATAATCTCACCTAACAAAGGTAAGTAGAACTTAAGCTATTCCTATAATTAATTATTTTTCCAAGAGTGAGACAATCAACTTTACATACTTTGTAGGGTATTCAGAGATGCTTTATAAACGATTTGTATTTATGTTTGTTATGTTGTTTCTAATTCTATTCAATTCTACCACACATGGCACACACACACATATATATATATATATATATTTAATAAATATCTGTCTATAACAAGTTATCGTATTTTTCATATGAAATATATTGAAAGTTTTACGAAAGCGACAAACATATTTACACGGAAATACCATTTATTGAAAAAAAATGTGATAAAATCGATTTTTTTTTTTGCCTTCTTTTTCTTCCCCGCTCTCTATGACAGGCAAACACACGAAGCTAACTTGTGCTTGTTTTTACTAATGAACGCATTTGTCGTTACTCAGCGGGAGTTTTGCGAAAGAAAATTCATGTGTTCAAATATTATAATATAACACAAGTATTAGTATAGGGTTTGAAATAAAGTTTTGTCGTTAAAAGTTTTCTTTAAACAAATTTATATATTTTTAATTAAAGTTGAAAATTATATCCAATACTTTTGGAGAAAAAATAAAAATATATTTTCAATTTTAAAAACTAAAAATGTTGATTAAATATTGAAAGCGCAGTTCCAGGTAGCTTTGCTTACTTTGTACACATTTTTGTGTCTGCCTTAATATAAGAAATGCAAAGAAAATAGAAGTTTACATCGACTAAAACAAAGGTAAGTGAAAAGAGGCTAAGCAGGCAAACAGTTTGTGGAATGTTTCACTTAAGCAAAGTATTTGGCGAGATTAAATAATAAAACAGAAAATGATAAGTTGTTTTCCGAATCTTTCACTTTTTCAACACGCGGATTCCAAGTTTAACAACATGGATAATATACTTACAGCAGGTACTTGTCAAGTTTAACAACAGAAACACTATGCCAACATATATATGTAGATTGCTTGCAGAACAGGTAGTTTCTTGGCTTAAAGAGAATAATAGCCGTTACAGTTAGTATCAATAAACGCAGGGAAAAAGTGACGAGCGCATATTGCAATATTCGACTTTGTTTATCACAATCGTCTCCTTCAATAGTGACACGATCACAGTACAATGGCGGGGTTTTTTTATTGCAAAGTTTGGCAAAGCACTCTTACGGTTAAATTTCCTCAACGAGCACAACACTTCATCTAAATGCTTTTACGTTGTTGGCAAACAGATAATAGTCGCTGAAGGTCTGTCCTGCATAAAACAATGGATGGGCCAGCAATTCTCAATGCTGCAGAGTTTATATTGTCCCTAGTCGTAATGAGTGCTCAGCTGGTAAAAGCATAACATTCAACCACGATGTACATATCCACTAGGCGGTGGCGGTGGCTCCTTCCCTATCCCTTTGTCCTTTTACATTTCCTTCTGACCGTCATCGTATTACATGAATAGCACTCGTCCTGGGTGAATGGCCGTAAAATATATTAAAAAAAAAAAAAAAAAAAAAAAAAAAAAAAGAGAGTCGAATTTAAATTCATATAATTGCTCCCTTGTAAACAATTTGCGGAATGAATAGCATGACATTTTGACAAACAACGCTTAAGAGCTGGAACTTTGTAGGAGAGTAACATGGGTTGATTGTTAAAGAGAGTATCCATCTGTCGGGCTTGGGAGTTCTTGAATGATCTATTAAAAAAATTAATGTTTCTCTTCAGCTCAATTTTATTAGAACTTCGTCCTTAAAAATGCTTTTGCAAGTTTAAGCCTGTCTTTATGACTTCTTGAGTTCCTTTACAAGTCTCAAAATTGAAATAAAAGCAGAATTAACTCTGGTTATAAAAATAGCCAAAGGAGAAAAGGAACTTTTAAAAACTGCACAACACATGAATATCCTTGTGCCGCAGAAATATAGGAGAACGGTTAAAACAATGAGGGGGGAGGGGGAGGTAAAAACAGTATGGTTGGATAAGTAAAGGTGCGTGAAGTACTCGCCTCCCTAGGCACGTTAGCAAAACGTGTTCAGTTTTATCTAAAAGAAAAGGTGAAGAAGTGTTTATAGAGGCAAGAGGCGAGATGGCTCTCGCCTTTATTGAGTACTAATCAAAAGCGAAGGTAAAAGAAGCGCAATTGATTTTTTCCTTTAATTTCTTAGTACAGATAGAATGATTTCTATCAGAATTTTCTGAGAGCCAAAGAATGGTCTTTTGATTAATCCCTTTGTACGACTACAAGACAAAAAATTGATAAATACCAAGCAAGAATATTTCCAAATTGCCCGATGCAGAGACAACGTGAGAAGGTTTCCAAAGGAAACAAAAGACTCTTTTCACATCCTTTCGTAACTCAAGGAAAGTACCCTTCTCTATATATATGGTAAAGGAAAGCTAAAGTATATCGCAATTGAGCAGCAGTTAACCGTTATGCAAAAGTGAAATCCTGTTATTGGTAAATCTATGCAAAGATCTCTAGGAAAGCGTCAAAACTTTCCTTCAACGCTTCATTTCACATTCGTAGAGCGTCCACATGTATGTGTTCAATTCTTTGTATGCATGTATTGATAAACATTATTTTTTTTTTTTTCTTTCAGTTAAACATTTGCAATAACTAAACCGATCGGACATTTTATTAAATATTGAAATATATTATGCTTATGTCTGCAAACGGTGACACCTGTATATATATATATATATACGCTGGCTGACGAAATTTATTTCTAACGCGGCACTAAATACCGTGAATATGCTTTTAATGAAATTTAAATTATTACACCTTCCAAGATATAATTAAAGTTTTATATCTTTCTCATAATTATCATATATCAGAGACAGAATTCACTAAAGGATGCATTAATATTTTGTGACACATTGGCAGTGAAAGAAATCATTTAAGTGTTACGCGTACCCGTATGTAACGAAACTGAAAAAAAGATAGCACACCACCCATGGTTTTTACGATGGCGCAAAAAAAAAGGGATGTAAAAACGGAAAGCGCTATGAGGAACACCACGTGCATGCGCTTGAGAATAGATAGCTTTTGTAAATTATTTAACAGCATGGGCTTGCAAACTGGTCTTGAAAACAGTTTCAAATTTTGGTTTTTTCTTTCGCTTTTGCTTGAAAAGCACTCTTAACTGTATAACGGGCTGAATATAAATTGAATTCGGTAGTAATTTAAATCTTTAATGGCTTCATTTTTATGCTGCCATCAAACTAACAAACGAGAGCATCACTCAAATAATTTGATGTTATTTTCCACTATA